CAGGTTTTGCATGGGGGGTCTCCTTGCCAAACAGTGAATTTTTGAGAGGGGGACACATTTAAATCACAGAAACACGGATCCTCTGGTCCGCAGCAAAGAGCACACTCGAGGCTAAGCTTTTGGTAAAAAAATTTGAGATAGTTTGTCTACTGGAACTAGGCGAAAATATCTCAACAGGCTTCTGATCGTGAGGACACGGTCATTAAAACGAATGAGCTTGGTTACTATGGGTTGGAGTTGTTCTAATGAGGCTTCATGACCATGCTGGACTTTCAGTCCTTTCAGAAAGTTCATCTAAATCGGCCTTATCCTTGCAGAACGCTCCTTATCTGACCAACTTCTCATATGAAAGATCCACAAAGGCACTCCGCGGAAACCTTTGATAGGTCCTGTTCGTAGGAGCACGGTCAGCGTTCGCCTAAAGTTGGAGCGGAAGTGGTCCATTGCGTTCATATCTTCATAGACCCATTCAGTTTTGGGTCAACCGCTGATGTCGTCGCAGTCAGTCGGGGCGGTTCCAAGAGGACCCACCCCCGGCATTCCATCACTGCTTTTTATAAATCGATCAGTGACCGGTCACCATCAGAAGTAAGCAAGGCGCTCTGGACGGGCTTACCTAGTCCGGCTGATAGCGGCATTATCAATTTCAGTGGATATCACCACAATCAGTCAGGTCACAAAGCAGTCGTTTCTTTTGGATAGGTCAAGGCGATGGTGGTCATCGCTGGCCAGTAATACGGTGGGTGGTCTGCCAGTCATGCCTGAGGGGCAAGTGAACTGGTTTTTGCCGCCCAAATGTTGATCTCATGGGGGTATATAAACCCCACTTTTTGTTGATTTCATTCGTCTAATAAATCTTCTTCTACTGCCGACTCTGCCTACTGCCTCCGGATTCAACAACTGGCGATCAGGATCAAGGACTCATGGACAAGCTGGCCGATATTCTCGCTCTAATGGAACGCCGGATGGAACGTCAGGACAAGGCCATCGAGTTCATGCAGCAGCAGCACAAGGAGACCGCCGATTCCTTCCTGCGGATGCTGGAGAAGATGGAGCAGCGAATGGTCGAAGGCGTGCCCAGCCACTGCAAAACACAGCATCTTCGACTCCATGTTGTTGCGAATCGGTGGTCGCCTGTGGGCCACACACAAGGGTCACCGAGGGATCGATGAGCTGTATCTTACTCCTGGAGTCATCCTGCGCCCGACCTGGCCAGGGTCGTACGATTTATCGCACCTAATGACATCTAACTACCTAGAGGCTACTCTCCCCGTAATCCACTCTGTACATAGACTGAAGTAACAAGCGGTTATACCATTATACCAGAATACAAAGGAGGACTAATCTATTTATGTCTCCGAAGTATATAGGATCGTGTTAGTAACTCAACGATAAACAATGGAATAACTAGAGGATAAGATAACACGTTAGAAACATGAACTCACGTCGGGCCACCGCTCGTAGCCTGCTAGTTGACCAAGGAGGATTTTGATAGATTCATAAAGGATAGCAGTTCTAAGGGCCGAGGCCCCACGTGTCCGTCGCCGAATATGGAATAGTCGTAAGACAACCGCTTCGTAGCTAGACAGATGATGAACTAACCCGGGAGGCCGTGATGGTGCCCTTTTATAGGCGCCGCACTTCGATCGTGCGATCACGGATAGATCATAGTTGGTCATGGCGACGGTTACACGTGAGCACCGGCGCACCCTGAGGGATTTCCCTCGGGAGCGATCCTCGCGATCCGCGACACTCCCGCCCCAAAAGAATCCCTCATTGGGCCTAAGCCTGAGCCCCCCGACTGCAGGCCGAGCGCACGGTGTGCTGCCAAAACCCGGCTTGACGCCAAAGGAAAAAAGTAAAGCCTTGGTCTCGTAGCTTAGGTTAGAGAGAGGACTCGACACCCATGATGAGCTAGCGCTACTATCAATGGAATTACTGCATTCAGCGAGAAACAAAAGGCACTAATTAGCAACAAAACTAGATAAGTGAGGTAACGGATTAGTAACAACGAGATAGCATGGTAAAGCACTCAAGTAAACACGAGGATCTAGTATACCGGCGTAATAATGAGGTTAATAACAGGAGGCAAAATTATAACTTCATGAGATTAGTAACGATAACATAACAGTAACAAATTGGTAGTAACGGAGGATAATGTAGTACGGTTATAATGTGGCGTCGTAAACAGCAGCGGATATATACTTGAAGTAGTCGCGTGTGTCGGATCTGGAACTAAAGAATACACTCAACACTCAAGAAGTAAACGAAATGGAAATGAAAGTAAACTTAGGGATAGAGTTCCCAAAGTGAACTATTGTCATAATTGAGTGTCGTAAGAACCGACGTCGGCGTTAAGCTGCAAGTAACGTAAAACCTGAAGTGAGTAAGTGAGATAACAAAACAAGTGGTTAGAAGAAAAGGGGTAAATGTAAATTTAAAATTGATGCCTTTCAGTGAACTATGACGAAGAGCCATTGGCGAAGTAATAATGGTGGTAGACAAGATGGCGCAGCGGTCGACTGTCCTAAATGAACGATTAAGGAAACACATAATCACTTACCTGCTGCGTCAGTCGATAATCGTACACCATAATTACGTCGACCACGGTCGTCTTTGGATTATGAAGAAAACGAATGAACTATAATAATGGTTACAATGTAGTAAATGGTGGAGTATTCGAGGCGTTGGACTAATACGAGTCGTCGCTGACGTCCGGCGAGAACCCCATATCCCTGGCCAATTCCGAGGCAGAGGGTCGTGGCGAAGGCTCTCGCACTCTCTCACGTGCCGGCTGGCGAGAAGGTCCCGGGCGGTCGGCGTCCTGTGTCCTGTACCGGTCTCGGAGAGGTCGGTCGTATCGTCGGCGAGGAACGCCTCCTTCAGGCGGTGGTACGTAGGTGTGGTAGCTGAGCATCTCGTAAAGTCGTCCGGCGGCATGTTGCCCAGATCGTTGATGGCGAACGGATTGAAGCACGCAGAACGATCTATGATGCCCTTCCTCCTCGCACAAACTGCAAGGGTCTCTGCGGAGGCACGAAAGGCCCAGTGCACCTTGAGGCAGTTGCTGCAAATTCCCCTTCTCTTGGCTATGTCTAGCCGGGTGGAAAGGTAGGGGTAGGCATCGCAATCCGACGAATAATGGCCC